AGAATGAAAAAATATGCATGTCAATCATATTTTTAATAAATCAATAAAAATATTTGATACTATTTAGAGAACATTACTATATTAATAGCCATTAATATCATACTACATCTGTACAACTGCCACTAGAACACTGTCTAAAAATTGTATCAATTAAGACACCAATATCAATATCCTTTCTTATATACATGCACAAGTACCTTAGTGTTCCATCACTAGTACCATCAAGCAATGACTTCATCATAGCCAGTCATGTCTATACAAGCAATCAACATAAATATAGCATTCATGTACTTTTCGCATTCAATTCAATATACTATATATAACATATACCAATACATAATATTAAGTATCTATAAACATTCCTAACAATACGACCAATAAATAATAACATATTAATCAAAATAAAATTTATGCAAATATCATTATCTACTAATGTATAAAAATCGAGAATAACTAAAATATTACTACAGATTAAAAGTACGAGTGTTCACCATGATCATGATGATTCTAAACGTTCTCTTCACTTATCTTGAATGAAAAACCTAAAGTCAAATGCATAAAAAATTATTATTAATCTTATTGTTAGAAGACACTGTCTTTATTTGACCCTTTAACGTATCAAATAGTATTAATAATTTTATTATCATCGTAATTGTAATCTTCATTCAACAATTTAAGCCTAATAAATATTGACAAAAAGTTGGCTATCCTAATTTAACTTTCTAATTACCTAGCTTATTTATATATTGTAACAATTTATTATTAATTACAGTATTATAAAATTTACTATTAATTTATACCATAACGTTCTTACTATAAAACTTCTTTAACTTAAAATTTGATTTAATTAAAAATTACAATTAATAATTAATAATTTAGAATACAAATGCGTATTATAAAAATTCTTACATTACGATTCGACCTCCCCTCATCCTGCAGGAACTCCTCCCTAGGACTGTCAATTTGGCTCATTGTTCGCGAACATCTCGTGTTCGCCTCGTTAAGTAGCTCGTGTTCGACTTGTTCGTTAAGCCTAACGAGCCGAACACGAACAAATTTTTAAACTCGAAATATAAACGACCCGAACACGAATAAAAGTTTGTTCGCTCGTGTTCGGCTTGAATTGACTCGAAAATAAATATATATAAATATACATAAAACATATTCATAAAATTAAATATTATAAATTATAATTAATTAAATTTTTTTAAAAAATGAATTATCAAATTTTAAAAAATTTATCCTATAAATTATAATATATAAAAAATATTAAGAATATTATATTACTATTACTTATATAAATATTATATATTTATAGAATATTAGTTACACATTTAATATATATATATATAACAATAAAATATACCATAGATAAAAAACCCTAACAGCGATCCGCGGCTCCCATTTCTGTCTCGAAAGTTCTGGGGTGCGGCTGCCTTTCTCTCCTCTCAAAATCGCTCATCCTCTCAAAATTGCGGAAGGCTCCTCTGATCCTCTCAAAATCGTGGAAGGCTCTCTGGTTTCATGTTCTTCTACTAATATCTACTTCTATTTCTCCTCGGATAGTCAACGTTGGCTCGACTGCTCAATTTTCTTGCTTGGTTACTTGTTTACTTACAAAGGTACCTCTTAGCTTAAATTTTCTTAAATTTCTTTTAGATTTACTTAGATTTTTTGAGTGAAACCTAGTCTTTTAGGGTTTTGGCAGTGAAATCTCGTATATTGAATTTAGATCTGGTTTTTTATGGATGAGATATGATATAAGGGTTATTGAAAACTTAAAAAAAATTTGATCTCTACTTCTCTTTCTCAGCAGTGTTGGTTCGATTGATTGACATTCTTACTTGGTTGCTCGATGCTCTTGGACGGCTGCTTGTTTGGATACCAAGGTGTTATATTTAAGTATCTTTTCTGTAATATTTCATATTTATCTTCAGGTATGCTTCTTGTCCTAATGTTTCTTAAATTTCTTTTATTTGGAAGATTTACGTACAAATCCCGCACAGTGTATATTCTGTAATGTGTTATAAAAATGAATTCCATTTAAATGGCTCACGGTAGAAAATAAAATGAATATTCTATAATGTGTTTGACTATTGGCGTTAGTTAGATGCATAACTTTGTTCATGCTTTGAGTACATAGTTAATAACTTTCAACTAGACTGGAGCCTTTGTCTAAATATTAGTTTGTCTATTAAATTTTTCTTACTTTATCTTATGTGAATACTTGGTGAAAAGTTTCCTGTTCCCATGATGGTAGTTTTTGGGCTTAGATAAATGATGAGTTTCTGATTCGGAATTTGTTACGTCATATTTTTAGTTAATTAGCTTATTGAGTACATATTTTTAGCACTTAGCTTATCTTTTCTGTAATATACTATCAATTCCAATAACAACAGTTGTTACGGAATCATCATTTAGTACCGGTAGAAGAGTTCTTAGTGATTATAGAAGCTCACTCTCGGCAAATACGGTGAATGCATTAACATACACTTCTAGCTGGATTAGATCCACAAGTAGTTTTAAAACTCCTTTGGTAATTTCTCTCAACAATTAGTTTTTAGCTTTTATTAACCTTTTAATTTTTATGTTCTTATAACTTATTATTTTATATATCTTTTGTTCCAGCAAGAATTAATGGAAGAAGAACAAAGAAGAACAACTTCATATGACTTTACCCGAGTATATTGATGAAGAAACAACTTCAGAACACTTCTTCTAGTTGAGCATTGGCATGTTGAACTTTATGTCTTGTTGATGGAATTATACTCTATGCTTTGTTGATGAAATTATACTTTATGCTTTGTTGATGGAATTATACTTTATGATTTGTTTTTCTCTCTGATTTATTGTTCTTTTTATAGATATGGTAGGTGGCTGGCTGATTCTATTTTGTTGAGGTTTACTTGTTGTTATACATCCCGTAATCAGCTTCTTAGAGGCTGCATGTTTTACTTGTGGTTTAGCCTTTTCGAAATTACTCTATTTGGTTTATGTAGGGTGTGGTTGTTTAAAACAGTAGTACACCTTGCGCTTTGCTTTTCAAAATATTGTTTCTTTTTTTTGAGAGAAGATCAGAAAATTCGGTCAATTGGGAGGAATTTCCTAGTAAAATAGCTATTCAAATGAGTGATACTCATCCTGTGCTAAGCATTCCTGAACTGATGCAGATACTAATTGACTCTAAGGGCTTGAGTTGGAAGGAGGCTTGGAGCATTACTCAGACGTATGGTTTACCATTTTTTAAAACGATTTGGATTTATACTTTGCTACATCAGAATTTGCTTATTACACTATTTTTAGAACTATGTTGTTGACAGTATTTGAAATAGTATATGATTACAACTTGGAAAGGCTAATGGATATTGTTGAGCTCTCTATCATGCATGTTCCAATTTGGATTCACATTTGTTAAGCATAGGTCTTCATGAAAATATGAGATAAATTGAACAAAGCAATATTAAATACGTTAGGCCAATAAAAAAATTTAAGAATGCAAAAGTACATTTTTCCATCTTTATGCTATATTATTTTTAGATGTAGGTTCACAATCTATGCAGAGGTTGATGGAAAGGTATTCAAATTTGTGGGTTTATTTTTCTCGCTGTTTGTGTGAGTTTTGTAAATTGGATATGGTTGCAGGAAGGTGCTATTTCATTTTATCCTTATTGCTCAGGAATATTTACATACATGCTAGTCGACTCCTATGTATTTACATATTTAACAACTAAAATTTAATTTTTACATGCATACCCACCTTACCCATGCATGAAAAGGCGCATTTCTCTTTTTAAAAGTTAAAATGATGGTATTTTTGATGTGATGTGAATGGTTTGGGTACTATAAATGTAAAAAATAAAGTATAGATGTTAGATATGTAAATATGTAGGAATTCGGTGGTATGTATGTAATTGTCTCAATTAACTATACATCATTTTGTATGCAGAAAATTGGTGTAGTTTGCAGGCGATGACACCTTCGGAGGCGAATATATGACTTATACTTTGGGTATCATTTCATTGTCTTCATGTCAAACTTCTCTTTATCTTTGATGGGAAAATGAAGGAGTTTCATTGGATTTATATTTTTTGGGGGCATTTACCTGAACTTTAATATTTACATTTACCACTTTTACTAACTTTTTAAAAATCAAATGCATATTTTTATACATCTAGGTGGTAAAAATGTAATAACCAGCTAATAGAGAATACCTACATTGGTAAGCATAAGCAATCCCAAAATATTCACTTTGTGTGTAAAATGATGTATGATCTTTCACTCAATAAAGAGCTTTACCTGACAGCCATAAACTGCTGATTATTAGCAGCCATAAATTTATATTTTTTTTTCTGCAGTTACAAATAAAGAATGGTAGCAGAGATCAACCAACGACCATCGTAGTCTCCGGTTCTACAACCTACTACACCGAAGAAAGCTGCGTATCTACTCCCGATGCTTGTCAGGAGCTCCAATGGTGTGAGCTCGTGGTTTATAAAAATTAGTTTTAGTAGTTTGAGTTGTATGTAAAACATAAGAAAACTTAAATGTTCAATACAATTTTTTTTAGATTTTGATTTTTATTTTGAGATTTTTTATTTTATATTTTGTACTCTTGTTTAGTTTGTACATTTTAAAATTTGTAATAAATTGATTCTTATTTTGTAAATTTTTGTCAAATAATATTAATATTCTTGTATAAAATTTTGTAATCAATATTGTAAAATTTTTTGAGTTTATCATTTTTTTTAAGTTAATAAATATCTGAATTTTTGTATGAAATTTCTTCTTGAAAAAATTTTAGACAAAATTATTATTTTTTTTCAAAAATAATATTTATTAAAATAATTTTATATTCTAACGAGTCAATTTCGAGCCGAACACGAACATGAAAATATTATTCGAGCCGAACGCGAATACACTGTTCACGAGCGATTTCGAACACGAGCCGATTTTGAACACAAGCCAGATTCGAATAAGCCGAACACGCTCGTTTACAGCCCTACTCCTTTTCTTCTCCTTAGGCTTGGTCAAATGCCTCAGCTTGATTTTTCCTCTCTTCTTCGTACGGACGCTTATGCCCCTATTCTCGCGATCATCTGCACCGAAAGCTTAGGGCATAGTCGACTTCCTTCTTCCTCTGCGCTAGACTCTTGTTGCTTGCTCAAAGCTCTCGACGCTGGCACCCCCTACTTCCTCCTTCGCATGGCAACAGAGCAAACGAATCCTCAGTGCATGGGAGAGCTCCCCCTTCTTCCTCTACATGGGAGAGCTCCACATTCGGCTCTTCTTCGCCTCCTCTACTTTGTCACCGAAGCATTCTCCTCTATTACGCTCGAGCCTCCCATGCAGGTGAGTTGCACCCATCCTTTTCCCCTCTCCTCCTTTCTCTTTCTCCTCCTTTTTTGTTCTTCTGGACTTGCATTGTCTTCCTATTAGTATCGCTTTATCGCAAGTAACCTCTGAGTTCCCGACTATTCGTTTCATCTCCCTCTTTTAACTGGCCGACTCCTCACTTCGTCTCCTTTCTGTTCATTTACTTGACCCCTCCCTCTTCCTCGAGTCTTCGTTTCTTCTCCTGTGTAACTGAGCCCTTACAATCCTCCTGGAAAAATTAATCCTTACAATAAAAAAACAATATTATTTATTAAAAATAGTATGCAATAGGCCATCATATTCTATCTACAATCACTCGAGTCAACAGGATTACATTATGCCATAATAAATGGACAAGATATTATATTGGTGCATCCGGAGAACAAAGTAGCATATAACATGAAGATTATAATCTATTTCATTAAATGCCAACTTCAATGATCCGTAAACCCTACCAGTAGTGTAAACCATTGAGGGGATTTTTGGTGAAAATGGCAACTTAAAGCCAAGATATGCATAGGATAATATAAAAGATGAATTGTATAAAAGTAAAATTTATAATTTAAAGCATAAAATTCATTGAAAAAGCATAAAATTGGACAAAGAATGTTTTAGAAGCAGCATTATAGTAGGAAAGAATAAAAAAAAGTTAACAGTATGTTAAGTCACCTGAAGTATCCCTACAGCAGCGAATTTGTCGATGATGGTCTTGTGTTCTACAGGATGCAGATTCAATGGTTGCAACAAAGCTTCGACACACTGTAAGCAATAGAAAAAAGGAAAGATGACAATTTTTAGGATCAAATGTCTTACAACACTTGATCAACAATTATCTTCCAATCAATATTCCCTTACTTTTGATGTATAGTTTTCATCCCAATATGTGTAGCACAGACCGTCAAGCTTCCCTGTCTTGCGCAGCTCCTCCATGAAAAGCCTTACTTGAACTGCCTGCTCAGAAGAAAAAAAAGAGAAAGTTAATAAATAAATAAAAATTATGTGGTGGCAAAGACATAAGTACCTCCAAATTATGTTGACCATGCAAACTGAAAGGAAACCCAACAACAAAGCCCACAAGTGAGAGTCTTGAGATCTGTGTACACATGAAATGCTGAGATTAATCCACATCCAATACTTGAGAAGCAAACAATCACTTCATAAGAATAAAGTTGAGATCTACACAATGTTATGCTACAGAAATATGAAAATAAATGAAACCCAAATGCAAACGTGGATGAACAAAAACACTTTTAATTACAGCCCTCTGTTTAATAACAAAAAAATTGACGAGAAGAGAATAGATAAAACTGATAGAAGTGAGGGACACACACATGTTATCTTCATTGTACAATCAAAATCAACGACATATCAGCCCTACCATTGTGCAGCAAATTGCATAAATCAAACAGGAACAAGCCAGTTTTGTAGCATTAAAACAGTATGATCGATTCTTGCTGCATAAAAATAAATAAGAGTAGCGAGAAACTAAGTAAACGTCATCACATTCTTCTTTTAGGAATTCTTAGTATCTTAACCTCAGTTTATCTTCACAAAATAATAGCTTGCCAAATATGGATTTCACCGGCAATTTTCTTAGCATAATATAAAATAAATAGGAATAAGATATATGGAGTAATGCATGCTGAAGTCCTAAATTCCAAAAACAAACATTCCAATCGAGAAATAAAAATACTACACATATCAAGCCATGACAAGAGAAAACATAGAATCACCATCTTATTAGCTTCCCCTAATAGATGCATAACCTTTTTAAATCTCTTTGAAAAGTTACACCATCAATTACCTCTTAATCATCTTAGAAATTACATTTTTTTTTGTTTCGAGGAAGGTGGTAACACTGGAGAAGGCCATAGTCTTAACAATGCTGATGAGAATGCTGTTTATCTTTTCAAAACGCAAATTTATCCCTTTGTATTCAATTCCTAGTATGTCAACAATGAAGTTCCTAGTACTGAGAGATCTGGGGGCTAGGGAGACAAAGAATGAGCAATACTATAAATTTCCAACTTCAGCTTTGCTAAGAAGAATGTTCCATGGGTAATGAAAACAGAAGAATATTGACTTTCCCATGAGATGAGTAGCAGAACTTATCAAATTGCATGAATTTAGATGACTGTTGTTGCAATAATATGAAGAGATTAAACAAATAGACTAAAAAAGTTGGCAATGAATTTAGGGATCTATTCTTTTATATACAGGAAAGGAAAAAAAAAAGGGAAGGAATAACAGTCCTTATCCCCCAACATGACAATGTCAGGTTAATCAAGCTAGAAGCCAACCTTCTTTTCATGCTATTAATGCAGAAGTTCATCTGTTTCCCCCTATCTCATTATGCAGAACTTGTACTCCCAAATGCATTTCTTCAGATATAGGGCTTCCTATTTGTTGGGATGAGCATTGGGATGAGCATTACTTGAGAATAATAAAAAAAAAATCTTTTGCTCTTAGGCAAGAATTTGCACAAAATTTTGTTTCAGTTATCTGCTATTATAAATTAATTCCTAAACAAAACTTGAACCAGAATTACACTTTTAAGAAAAAAAATAAAAGCAGAGTTCACCATGTCAAGTTATGTTTCGGGAAAGTTCCAGCCTAATTTAAAGAGTGAAAATTTAGTAACATCATGTGCACTTCCCTATGACTGCCCAGGAGAGAAAAGCAGATATAAATGTGATTTTAAAAATTGGACCGAACCTACCATTGAGATCGGTTTAACCTTGAACCATTCCTCAGCTAATTCAATTCAAATCCAAAACCACTTTCGCAAAAAATCAATCATAATGGCTACAATTGACGGTTGAAAGCTTGAATTGCTACAATTTTTTGTGGAACTGCCTTGCTTTAAAATTACTTAATTTGGGCTTTTCGACTTTAATAAGATGGCTCGGAATACAAGATTTAGATTAAACATAGAGAAACAATTAAAATATTATGTCCCAAAATTTTGATTTAAAATTATATTCAAATTATTCAAAAGTGAAAGATCTTGAATTAAAATATTATAGATTGATTAAGTGTAAATATCATTAAAGCATCATTAATACATCATTTAAATCATATTAAAATAATTTTTATATTCGTTACATCATCCAGTTCAACCTCGGCTAAACAGTTGAACCTGAACCTCTCCTTTTGGTTCAACATTCAATTTTATTTTCAAAACCATGGATGTAAACATTATTTTGCTTCATATTTTCTGAGGGTTTAGTTCAGACTCATTCATCAAGTGAAGAGTACCGGCATCTTGAATAATGACATGAATATGATGATTACAAACTCCCAAGAAAGGCATGATCCATCAATGAAGATAAAGATGAAGACTTTCAAAACAAGAAAGTGCGATATATATATATATAGATATTTTATATATATATATATATTTGAAAGCCCAAAGGCTAATATATTAAATAAAAAGTAGGGTACAAATAGATTTTGTGGAAGTTCTGAAACACGACACCCAGCCCACACAAAAACCATAAAATCAAATGGCTCCAAAAAGAGAAAATACAATAAAAAACATAAGAGATCTAAATAAAAAAACCAAAATGTGTCAAAATAAGAGTATCAGGTAGCTGGACAGCGACCCGATTTTGCCTTCCCTCTACCTCTAGTTCTAGGGAATGAGTCAGCTAATAAATTGGTCAGATGAGTGTCATTGCCAGTAGTAACCAATGTATCATCCAATAGATTCCCTAGCTCGAATCATCCTCCGTTCTTTTTCTTTCTCCTCGTGTAGACCTACCATTCCTCATTCGAAGATTGACTCACCTGATCAGCAGAATGATCTGAAGTGTGCAGGATATGTGTAGGTTGTTGAACATTAGAAACAACTACTTGTTGTACCAGCTGATCTTCTATCAGGTCGAAAGAGCATTCTCGTGTGTCTTGGCATGTAAGTGAACCTTTTTCAATAACAGTAAGTGGTATCAGCACATTTGGATCTGTACCTGTAGTAAGGTGTTCTTCATGTGGAACTGCAATGTTGGAAAGAGGATTTGATTGAACATTCTCAGCAAGGATGGTAGGTGACCGATCTTTAGCGATATTTAGCCTTAGATGAGGATGCAAGCAATAACAAATAGTAAAATTGTGACCAAACATAGTACAATGAGAGCAGTAAGGAGGATGTGATTCTATTTCAACATTTTGTCAATGCCCGGTGTGAATAGTGTCAATTCATATCTCATCCGGAGCCGGTTGAGTGATATCTTTCTCAACTAACACACAAGTCACAAAGGGTCTGATGACAGAAAGAGTATGACTATCCATCTTGAGAGGCTTACCGTAAGCTGTTGTTAAAAAGTAGAGGATTTCCATGTTAAACAGATATAATTTTAACCCCAGAAACTTTATCCAAACTGGAATGATAGGGGACTCCGCTTTTGGATCAAAACCGACAGTCCATATCAGAATTTTTATAAAACGATTGTCAATCTTGATACTTTTCGAGAGAAAATGCGAGTATAATTGACATCGTGAGATAGTTGAATAAGTATATGTCGAACGTCTAGTAGACCAATGTTCCAACTGCCCAATAGTTTCATAGCATCAATTTTTTTCCTGATGATCTCCAATTTTGGGTGACCATAAAGGAATTTTCCCACTAAAGCAAAACGCCAAGAGGACGCTAGATTACCAGTTTCAACCTCAGTGAGAATAAATGCAGACCTCCCATTTTTTTCCAGGCTTTTTAATAAAAGTGTGTTCGCCGCCACCTTCAAGAGCCTCGTGGTACGATTGTGGAACATTGCAGGACTTACCGATAGCAAAAGCACGCTCTGAACCTGGAGGAGGGGCACATGGGCAAGTCGCCAACAAGGGCATTTGCATAGGAGCGGAACGTCGAGGCCATCTCTCTCACAAGAGGTCAGGAAAGAAATTGTTTGACGAGCCGCAAGGAAGCGAGGAAACTGTTGGCGTTGTCGGGCTCGGGTCGTCTGGAGCGAGTCGACTGTAGCGCCTTCGTTTAAGGAAACAGACACAAGATCGGCTACGGGAGACGATTGTAGCGCCTTCGTCTAAGGAAACAGACAACGACGGCAGGAGCGTTCTGTCGACTAAAGAGACAGCTGGGAGCGATCGACTTCAACAGGAGTGACAGGGAGTGAACGTCGTCATAGGAGACGCCGAAGAGAAACAAAGAAGCCGATAGAATCACCACTGGGCATCGTCATCGGGCGAAACCCTAGCAGAGCGTGTCGCTGCCGTTGACATTCTCAAAATAATAATAAATGAACATCTTTTGTGATTGACGAAACAAAGAAGATTATGATAAGTATTGGCTTTTAAAACCATAATTTACGAGCTTTATTTATGCATAAACAAAGTCCCAACAAATTAAGCCATATGGCATTAAAGGAAGCATATGAATCGTATATTCCATAAACTAGCTGAAGGTGTCAACGATCATAAAACACAATCTAGTAAAAATTTTCCAAGTTAGACATAGAGGAGTGATAACTTAAAGAAAAAATTAATTTTGTCGTTGGAGCATTACTAGAAGGTGAGAAACATTAAAAAAGAGTCTCTCCATTATCTCCATTCTCTCACTCACCCTAATAGAAAATATGCCACTTAATGTATTCATAGCGTCCAAACTCATTTCAATTGGCATGCGATATGCTCCGGACTCAAAATCAGCAAGCAACAACAGCGAAACGATGATGAATAGTGGAAACAAGTCAAATAAGGGTTGTTCTTACGAAAAACAATGCAAACAAGTACAATACAAAAAATGATATACTTTCGAGAGATAGATCGGCTCTCCCACACCCTAGACGTCGCTAGGGACACCACCAAACTTTCGAGAGATAGATCGGCTCTCCCACACCCTAGACGTCGCTAGGGACACCACCAAAAGAAGAAACACAACAACCAAAAAAATAATGTAAAAAGGAGGCAAACCCTAGGTTCTCCCCCTAATAGAATCCCCTCCTAGCACTTCAAAAACTTTCCTTCCTAACTTTTCCTCCAAACTCCCTTAGTTTCTCCTCCTAGCACATGTGATTATGCTCTTAGTGGACCCCACCATTTTCTTTCCTTTTTCCGCGACTCCCCCTATTAGTCCTGCTT